TAAAAACCGAGGTATGATGTTTGGTGCAAGGTACAGTGCATTATCAATTAGGAGTATAATCACCGAGATACTAATGCTAAGTGAATGCGATTACATTGTGTGTACCTTAAGCTCAAGTGTGTGTCGACTGGTGTTTCCACTAATGATAAGTCGTGTAAACAATTCAATACATAATACTAATGCTATTCATTCATTAGATTGGAGCTATGAGTTCATTCATTTTCATATCAATAAAGATCCTAGATATTTTCCATCATTTAATTAATTTGTAACTGCTAACATGTTGTTTATATTATTAGTATGTAATTAGCAGTATAATAATATAAATATTAATTTCTATTTATTAATTTTAACATTTTAACTTTATAAATTCCTGAAATATCTAGAGGTTTACATTAATTTTATCAAATAAATAAATGAATATCACTTAGGTGACATCACAAAAAATCAATTAAATACTTTTTTGTTTACTGTATATAAATGGAGTGTCAAGGACATATTTAATAATAAAATGTTTATGAAAATGCATACTTAATACAATTTATTGATTTACCGTTTTTGTGTTATTATTTATAATAATAATTTTGTTTTCTATGTATTACTATAATTAAATATCGATTTTATTTCACATACTATGCAATTATAATATTCTGTTTGAATTACAATAACTAGTATACGTGTATAACAAATGCAATGAGGATTATGTTTATAAATAACAAACTTTTATCCAAAGTGCTCATTTTTGTGTTATTTATTATAATTATTAAGGTACTCAACATTAACAACAGGCACAAACAATTATTCAATAGTAAGTAATCAATTAATGTTAAGCATGCTAACTAATTATGTAAGAATCGGCTAATTTTGAATTAATTCTGAAATCATCAATTAAGTATTCTTGGTAGAATATTAAACTATGAATATTTATTTTACAATTTATTGTAGATTTACAAAAGAATAAGCTGAGAGACATAGCTATTAGAAAATTAAGCAATGTAATATTTGATATGATTAACACGTTGCAAAATCCTGCAAAATGTAGTTCAGCAAGCAAATTTGTTTGCATATTAGAGATACAATGTGGGTTTGGGTGTACCATGCACCACTACGCTTATTGCTTAATACTGGCCCTACAAATGAACCGGACACTTATTTTCAAGAGGACCCGCAAAAATATGTTTACATCATATATTAAATCATTGTTTCTACCCATAAGTGATACATGTATTGACTCCACCGGTGAAAACAGTACGATATGGTGGTCAGGGAGGGTAGATAATGTGCGTGAGTACCATCAAGTTATATATTATAGATTCATGGACAATGTGGAAGTATATAATACTGATAAAATGGTGCCTGCACAAATCAATACTCGATTACACTCCCTGTCCGCTGAACCCTTTGCTCTATTCGTGGGACTATTATTACGGTATTTAATGCGTCCGACACTAGAGTTGAGCCGATATTACGATAATTATAAGCAAAGGATTCAATGGAAACACCCTATCGTTGGCCTACATGTGCGACGGACTGACAAACTGCTAAAAGAGGCTAAATAT